AACGAAACTGAATTTTACAGCAAATTTGAAAACGATATAAAAAAAAAACGAAAAATTCTAAACTATAATAACCTTGGTGTGTAGAGCAGGGGTACGCGAGGAACAGGATTAAGAACCGCTGCTTTAGAACATTGATTTTGAAACTTGTGAATCCATTAGAATCGTTCTTAATAGCATCTTAATACATCAAGCCATATTAAGTGTTTATGTTTTTCTACGGGAGGAAAATGCTTAACGAGAGACTTTGCGCATTGCGTTCATATTCTGCTGTTCTGTGGCCACGGATTTGCGGGTCTTGTCTTTTTCTTGCAGGACTATGTATGTTATAGTACTAAATTAGTTTTAATCATTAAATCACCACCACAGCGTCTTGTCTCCATTGGCAACATGGACGATTTGTGTCGATTGCTAGTGACGTCGCAGGTAGCGGAGAGTGCAAGTGGCGATTGCAAGTGACAATGTAATTTAGTTTCTTTTTTCTTGTCTTCACCACCTGGCTACTGTTGTAAAATGTTGAGAGATTAAAAAAATAAATAAATCAATAAATAGAACAAAATAAAAAATAAAGACTGCAAGTGACGTCAATTGCGGTAGCGCAAGTGTCTGAGAGTGCAAGTCTGCAGCCAGATCCTGTTGCCCCCTTTGCTGCCTTTTCCCGAGGGTGGGGTTTATCTGGGTTTGTGATGTCACGAACCCAGGAAGTAACTTGTTGTAGTCCCTACCAGCCGTTTTTGTAGGCTTTAAACTGCCAGAAGACGATATCTCCGTTTGCATTGAACTTTCAGCTTCGTAGCTTTGCAGATATTGTTTATGCTCAAACAGCAACATTACACACTAACTAACGTTAAAAAAGTGAAATCGCAATCAACCACCCCTTTAAAATAATAATGGGAAAAATCCTAACGCTTAATATGGCACCTGTAGTCCCGTCTCACAGCTACGTGTTCGATGAAGGTGTTAAAAAATATATTCTGTTTTGGTTTAGTTCTAGTATTCTTTGGTTCCTGTGTTAGATTTTGTTCCCAGTTTTCCCGCCATTTGTTTGTTTCCATGGATGTTAATTAGATGTCACCTGTTCTCTCTTCTGTTGATGAGCTTCCCTAGTATATTTAAGCTCTCATTTCTTTCTGTTCTTTGTTCCATGTCGTCAGTGTTAGATGTGTGTAGTTTGTTTCTCTGTGTGGATTAAAGCTTTTACTCTTCGTCTTGCTCCTTGGATTTTGTACTACTACAGCACAATTTGTGACAACTGTACGTTATACATTTCTAAACAGATTATTAGCTAATGTACACTTTAAATAGTTAAGAGTGTCAAGATACTTTGATAATTTCATACAAATTCCTATTTATACAGATCTGATTTCTAAATGATGGTTATTATAAATAACAAATAATAGGGTTCCCTATTCTAGAAGTTCTAAACACTGATTTTGTAAATAAGTTGTAAATAAAACAAAGATTATTGGAGCATGTGTTAGCCTATCTAATTAAAAAAAGAAAAAACAAACATTTAATTCAATGTTATTGCAGTTTGTAATTGTTTGTGAAATTTACTAGCAATTTCTGAAAAGTGAAAACTGATTCAAAGTAAATCCTACACCAGTTTTTTTCTCTCTCTCAGTGCAGTTAAAGCTAATTTGAATGGAAAAAGTGAAATAAATATTTAAATCTATATACTTCAAATATAAATATTTATTCATGCTAATAAAAAAGTACACACAGACTTTCAGATCAGGGTCTCAGCTACATAGCGTTTTTTTTTTTTTTTTTTCGGTTAATGTTACTGTACATACAATCCTTTATCAATATTATCTTCTTTCTGCGGCTTCTTTGATTTGATCATTTGACTGATGAAGTGCATCTTTATTTTTCCTTTGCTTTCTGCGCATACAGTAATCCATAAACTTGTCTAATGCTATTACAGTAGAAACCCTGAGAACTAGCGGATAGTTTTTACCACATCGTGAAATATGACTGCTTTAAAATACATTAGGGATTAGTTTGAGGTTAGCAGCACTAAAAATCTATTATATATGCTGCATTCCTGATTTTTCTTGATCTCACACACACATACATGTATACACGTACATATATGAGACATGAATCCATCACTCAATCAGCATGTGGCCTAAAGGTGTTTTCAGTCTCATCTCTTCATCTTCATCAGTCTATTCTTGGATATTATATGTCTGATAAGCAGATGTCAGAATGACAAAAGCTGCATATGTCTCGCTGGTTACCAATAATGGCTGAGCCAAAACAAATCCCTTACAATTATTTAGACTTAGATAGAGTCAGATTGTCTCGGGCCCTTCTCATGACACTGAGACTCACAATCTGTCATCTGTGCTATTATGGATTATTCATCTCAGGGGAATTATGTGGATGTGAGAGGCAGGGCTTAGTGTCCAGTGATCTCCATCTCCTCTGTGTACTGTCAGATTAATACTCTGCAATGTATTTAACAGCACTTTGTTTAAAAATATCAGTTCAGCAGGATCTAATCCTATTTAAGATGACAAGAAGTGTGCATTCAATTCAAATTTGTCTAGTTTTTACATGACAGCATTTAGTTAGATTCTAACATTTTCTGCAGAAAATGTAAATGGCACTTGAAAAGCTGACTGAAAATCAAGGTTATTCCACCAACTATTGATTTCTGAACTCCTAAGTTAAAACATTAGTATTGTGTTGTTTAGAAATGAATATGAACTTGTTTTCTTTGCATTATTTGAGATCTGAAAACGCTGCATCTTTTTTTGCTTTTTTGAGACCAGTTGTCATTTTCTACAAATAAATGCTCTAAATGACAATATGTTGATTTGAAATCTGGGAGAAATGTTGTCAGTAGTTTATAGAATAAAACAAAAATGCTGCATTTTCAGCATCATTACTCCAGTCTTCAGTGTCACATGATCCTTCAGAAATCATTCTAATATGCTGATTTACTGCTCAAGAAACATTTCTGATTATTATCAATGTTAAGAAATCTTTTGTAACATTACAAATGTCTGCACTGTCACTTCTGATCAATTTAATGCATCCTTACTGAATAAATGTTTTTATAAAATAAATAAATAAACTCACTGACCTCAAACTTAACTTTTGAACGGTAGTGTATTTCATCACTTAATGTCTTATAATGACTTTAGGAACTCAACTGTTGCAAAACAGTACAAACTACACTGGAACACAGAGGTTATCCAATCATAATAAAGATTATTTACAGACAGAAGTCTTAATGTTACGGCAGCAAAAATGGCATTTTTAATTCTTAGGGTCAGTGAGTGGTGCACAATAATGAATAACTGAATTACGGCTATTTTTAGTGCTAGAAACCTTGACTAATATTATAAGTGGACTAAAAATATATACTGTAACAGTGTAGAATATGCGCCTAATGCATTGAAGCTGCTATATTTGCCATCAAAAAGGAGACTCAACATATACAGTCCAGTAGTCCAATTGCTTTCTTTGTTCAACAATGCAGTATGAGGGAGGTATGTGGCGGTTCTCCAATAAAATCAGCATTCAATGTTTACTTGGCCTTTGTCTTGTGTGCAATGTAGAAACCACAGCCTGAAAAGACACATCTCTCTGCCAAACCCAAAAAAGAGACCAATATTACCACACAACTCTCTCTTAAGATGAGTTTACAACAACAAAATATATCTACTGTGAATTTTCACACTTACATCCTCATTTTTGTGTCTAAGTTACTTACAAGTACTTAGGATGAACTATAACATTGAGACATTTGAATTGCTTTATACTCAAATATATATATATATATATATATATATATTGTCACGGGAGGAGCAAACGACAGACACAGTGGGTGTGGCGTCAGGCCTCGGAGAGGCTTTTATTAACAAAATAATATAACAAAGTGTCTAGAAAAGGGAATAAAGTGTCCAAAATAAAACAGGGGATCTGGTGTCCTCGTCGTGCTGCGGGCTTCGTACAGGGAAGGGCAGTGGTCAGGAAGGAAGGGTCCAGGTAAGGGGCGGAGTCCAGCAGCCGCACGTGCTCCCCTCTCCAGTTCGGGGCGCGAGGGGCGGCAGCTTCTTCCAGCAGCTGCATCCTTCTCGCCTTGGTCCAAGGCGTGTGAAGGGACTAGATGGCCCGACGGCCGTGTAACGCGGGCGGTTCTCGTCCGGACCGCGGGTCTAAGGGACGGGGTGATGATGATAATTAGTTTATAGATCATTTTTTACTTAATCTGATGTCTTTTTTATCTTATTTAATGTATATTTGAATAAATCTGTCATGAAAACAAGTCTCCATTACAACCACTGTTGAAAAGTTTACATTTTAACAACAGATTGAGGTAGAAACATAAATATATAATTAAAAAGTTGATATAAAAACGGCGTAACACTTTAGTTTAGAGACTAGTTCTCACTATGAACTAGTCGCTTATTAGCATGCGTATTACCAGCATTTTGGCTGTTTATTAGTACTTATAAAGCACATATTAATGGCCTATTCTGCACGACCGTATTCTAGATCCCTTAATCCTACTCCACAAACCAACTGCCTTATTAACTATTAATAAGCAGCAAATTAGAAGTTGATTGAGGCAAATGTCATAGTTAATAGTTAATTAATAGTGAGAACTGGTCCCAAAACTAAAATGTGACTAAAAACTGTGCACATTTTTTTTTTTTATAAACTAAAACTTTCCGTTTCGGTGTTTCTGTTAAGTTAAACAATTCATTTCAGTGCATCACTACTATTGACATTGGAATGTTTTGAAGATCGTTTTTTAAACCTGTTTATTGGATGTGTTGCTGTGGTACTGAACCTGATACTGGTACTGAACACATTTCCTGAGAAACTGTTCATTTGGTTGTTTTTGGGTGGATCTAACTGAATGGCTCGATCTGAAAATAAGCGGTTTAGATAAGAATGATGTGTATTAGTCTGACTGGCAGTGCATGAGTGCCTTGACTAGATCTGGTTTGGAGGAATCTGATCCGATGCGGCTGTTGTCTCACCTGTGCCACCTCCTCAAAGTCATCATGGCGTTTCTGCAGGGCTCTGGCTCTGTGCAGGGATTTGCCCACACCTGTGTGTTTACTGAGGAACGCCTCTCCATGATTCTCTATCCAGTCAATCACCTGCAACATACAAACACACACAATCCATTCAGTGCATGGAAAAAAATAATAATCACAACACAGAGCTGAAAGAGAGTCTATCAAGTGAGCTTCTGTTTTCATTAGTTAATTCAACTGATGTGACACATAGAAAGCCAGTTATTTAGGAAACATAAACACACACACACACACACACACACACACACACACACACACATTATTTTTATACAAGTTTTACGAATGAGGACGTCCCCAAAGCGAGGTTTTTGGAGATTTTGTCAGGTTTAGCTCACTTTTTGGTACAAATTTGTCCAATTAAACTGTTAACCTAACCCTACCCCTAACTGAAATATAAAGTCTGGTTGTGGTGTGATGCTATATTAGGTACTTTTAAAACCTCTTTAAAGAGTTATATCATCTAAAAACATACACTTTACTGTATAAATCTTTTCCTGAACTCTAGAGAAGACACGGTTACTGGGCTATTTTTGCCAGGAGAAAAATCTGAGATGTAAAAATCTCCATTTTCTCTATTTGTTCTCATTGCTACTTAGGGAGAAACATTAAATAAATCTCATATGTGATTTTTCTTTAATGCAGGTGTGTATTCAGGTGCACAACATCACATGGATACTGAACCAATCTGAATCTGTAGTTTAATTTATTTAATTTTAGAAACAAACACCAAGCAGCTGACCTCTTTTTTTTCTTAGTTACAGTCATGGTATCTGTGGTTCTTCTACTACACTTGCGTGTTTGCAAGTGATAATCAAACATGCAAACAATTGCGTCAGTGAGTTTCTGCTATATTGATTAAAGCATCCAGTGCATGTTCTAAAAACAGCTTCTACTTTCACACACACATTAACAGAGGCTGATGAGATAAATATAGCCCTGCATGACGAGTCCATCACAGGATACGGCTGCTTAAGGCAACGGTCTGCAGTTCACAGATGGCACCCATTACATCAATCAGTCCAAACACCTGTTTGGCCAAATAAATCAACTTATAATTCAATAACAATCAGGCATTTGTGTTCGACTATCAGTCATTGTGACTTGCATGATGGTTGATGCTGTGTTCATAACTATTGATTATGCTTTGAAATGGATGTTTACATAAAGCAAATAAAACTTATGATAATAATCAAGTACAAGAAATAATCAGGGAAATGACATAATAAACTGAACAGGCTGGAGTATTTTGTAAACATTCAGAACTGCTATTACAGTTTCTCCTGTTTTAGGCTGTAATGACAAATAAAGATGTATGAGGTGATAAGGAAAAAGCTTTGCAAAAAAAAAAAAAAAGTTTAAAATGATGGAAGCTTATTTTCACCACAAAATAAAAAAATAATAATAATTAAATAACAAAATACAACAATGAAATAAAACAAATAAAAAGGTAACTGCAACCTTTAACTCTTCTGACTTCTGACTTTTTTCTCACAATTGCAAGTTTATATCTCCCAATAGTAAGATTTGTGAGATATAAACTCAGATTGTGAGATAAAAAGTCACAATTACAGTACTTTATATTTTCTATTCCATGGCGGAAACAAACTTTCATATAAAATGCATGTGCCAAGTTCTTAAAATTTAATGACTATAAAAATGTCAAGTGGTGTAAATGTCAAGTTAAAAATAAAGTAATATTTCCCTTATACTTTCTGAAAAAGCAATCACTTTATTGTGCCATAAAATATGATATATATTTTACTATTTTTGAAATGACATAGATCACATTTAAAAACAAATAACAATAAAAAAATCACAAAAATGTAATAAGAATATATTATATTAGCAATTTCAGATTTGTAGCAATTTGTATATATTGAGATTTGTATATATATATATATATATATATATATATATATATACTGATTATTT